CGAGCTTATCGTCGATCATGAAAGCATTTCTTTCTCAATTGTTGTGAAGGCCCGCCGGCTTCTTACTCAAACGCACAGTCCAGACCACACCAAAGAATAGCTTGAGCTTGGGGGCTGAGTCTCCTAGCCAAAAAGCTTTGGTTAAAGGGTGGGGATATGTAAGCTCCAAGACTCCAGGAGATTAAAGGTTAGCCCAAAAAAGGTTAAAGGGTAGGGTTATCTAAGCTCTAGGAGATTAAAGGTGGCCTATTCGGCCCCTAAGTGGAAGTACCTGCACTGTACAATGTTGAGCATGGGGCCCCTCTTTGTGGGCCAGGTCGGATCAGACGATGACTCTCACTTGGGAGTTTGCGAAAATTAGGGGTGCCTTATTTTGGAGCCCTTATAATAAGGATCCTACTATTTTAAAGGGTACTTTATTAGGGTCCCCTATTTTCGGAAACTCTCACATCTTTCCTGTGCAGATGTTTGCAGACACGGGGCTGCAACCCAAGCTTTGGCATAGCAAGCACGACTTCGGTGTGCTCAAGACAGTTGAGTCAGCTCGCGTTTGGAAGCATATATAATATATATAACATACAATTTACATTTTGTTGAAATTAATAATACAATGCAATATAATAATTACATAACCAGTAACATTAACACTGACATCTGCTTTTGAGGGTGCCTTTGAACGCCAGGCCTTTTCGCAGCAAACTGAGAGATGACCCTGAACCCGAAAATCATCTTCTGGGCCTAAGAGTAACCTAGGAATAAAAAGGGTGCCCTTTTTGGTTTAAAGGGGCTTATAAGGGAACCTGAACCCTAAAATAGGGAATAAGGGCCTACTCTGGGTCCTAGTCTTCAATTCATGTCCCAACATGGACGGCTCTTGCCACAGGATGTAGTCGAAGTACAGAGCAGGGAACTTTCCCAACTCTTCGACAACATGCTTGCTCGAAAGATGTCCACACAACCTAAGCCCTAGACCCTAAACCCCAAAACGCAAATAGAGAACGCTAAACCCAAAACCCCTAAACGACCCCTGAGCAGCAAGAAGCAATTTGTCCTGGCGTGCGTCCCCTCGTGCAGGGAGCGGATGCTGAAACGTGGAACGAGCCCGATGTCAATGTCCTTGCCCGCACGGGGACAGCCGTAGATGCTGGGAGCAATATGTCAAGACACCATGAGTCTTTCTGAGAGCAAGACGATGCTAACCATGCCGACAGTAGTCACAGCTACATCGCAGCGGAAGCAGAAGTAGCAGCAGTAAAACCAGAGACTCTGCCCAAAGCCACAACCAACAGCAACAGCACCAACGTAAACGCGAAGACGTTGGTTGCTGTGGGCTAAGATTGCCAATATAGCAATCAGTAAGCCAGAAACCCGAAATCAGAGTCATAGACCACGGAGCATGCAAGATGACTGCTGTTGAATAGGTTAGACGATTGATGAAGTCTACTCAAAGGATCATGCGACCTAGTAATTAGGGTTATAGATACGGCAACTATACTCATAGTTACTTAAAACCCCCAGTTAGGGTACTTATAATCTTACCAAGTAGTGGTGGTCGACCTTGCCCTGCCCAAATGAATCAACAAGACACGACCATCATCTGAAGCCCACTGCAATTCCCCTAAACCCTAAACCGAACGGAGCTTTAGTCTTTAATGAAGGGTCTCGGGCCCGGCTGGGAATTTCCGAAACGGCCTCTATACTGAAAATTGAACCCTAGCAAAAATTACAATTTTGGCAGTTTCTTAGGGATTATAATAACAAAAAATTAAACAGTATCTCTCTAAGTACCCCTAAGGCCTGGGCAGCCACGGCAAAAGGGGCAGCCCCAACACCGTGGATCCCAAATCAAATCGGCCTGAGGATGCGAGGATTTGAAGTTCCGGGTTGAGGGCTTGAGGCCTGTATAAAAAAGTTCAGGGTTTAAGGCTTACGTGTAGCCGAAAAGACCGACCCTTTCTAAGGAACTTTATCTAGAAACCATCATAAGGAAGCCTAAAAAGGTAGGTCTTTTCGGCTACAGGTATAATTATAAAAGGTTCAAGGTTTAGGGTTTTTTGGGCTTTAGGGTTTAAGGTTGTTTAGGGTAGCAAAAGTAGCAGTAGTACTACAGTAGCAATTATAGTAAGAATCGGAGAAGCAGCATTAACAGCAATACAATTGATAAAATGAGAAACTGTGTACTACCTTTCTCAACAGAGTGCGTATGGAGGCTTAGGTACTTGGATATAATCTCCGTTATTGCCGAATGAGGGCAGGCCGCAAGGTGATCGGACAAACATCAGGTGATGAACAGTTTCTATGTCTGAGGACCTGCGGTTACCGAACCCAAACCCAGCAAACGGCCCTCTGCCTTCTACCTAAACCCACTTTCAGGCTATGGGCTGTTGAGATCCCTTTTTGCTTTTCAAACCTCCTCGTGATGTGAGCATTCCGCGGACGAGTGCCAGCCCTCCAGCTTCAACTTGGGGGGAGGTTCTACTGTTGATGATACAAATCCTGCATTACCTTAGGGACCCTGGACTATGGGAATTATGGTATCTTCTTTGTTACGGGTAATGCAGGATTTATATCATCAACTGTATGAAAGCTAGATGAGACGGCGTCAAACTCTTTTGTTTATGCCAGTGCCGTCCTTAGATTAATGTGTCTCCTATCGTTTTACACTGTTTGCAACTTGAAGCATGCTGAAACACACGATACACTGTTTTAGACTAGAGGGATACAGTTTTGACCATGAAGCATTCCAGGGTGTGTGGGAAATCATCCAGAACTGGCTTCGGAGAGTATGGGAAGCGTTTGGTCATGTGGAGAGTACGTTTATTCCTGCTTGGAGGGGCAGGTGACTTAGTAAGCCGTTTATAAGTAGGTTTATCATTGGGGTAACTCCGTTTAGGGTACTACTATAACTCTGCTTACAACACCTACTTACTAAGTCCACTGCACTTCCAAGTGCTGTTTAGGCTTCTAGGATTTGGCGAGTTTCGAGACCTTTGGAGTTTGCAGTGCTGGGGCCTTCGGGCTTGTGGTCCAAGGGATAGCACTAAAGGGAACTCCAGAAAGTTGGAATATGGATTAATGGTAGGATCCCCTATAGTTTACCTTAAAGGGGTTACGAGAATGATATTCCAACTTTCTGGCTTCTACTGTAAGACAATACATGAAAGGCCACGGGCGCATCTAGGACACCCAGGGCTACATTTTGGGTATCGTTCTGTCCTATTTGGGGACGTCGTCGAATTTCTACAATTTCCGTCCCGAAAAACCTCGACACACTTACTAAACCCCAAACTCCCGAAACCCTCTCTTGAAGGAAACAGGGAGCCAAGGTCATAATGGCAACATTGCTGCATTGAGGGTATCGTCTTTAGGGCGTCCCCTATCGTTTTACAAGACACCGCTAGCATTTGCTATCTTCGACAACCGCCTGTTTCCAAACCAATCGATTTTTCACCCCATCTCATATAATGGTTTTAAAGGGCCTGGTGAGGTTTTGAAAATCCTGGTATGGTATGATATGTCAAGATAAGTTCCATAACAAGAGCCCAGACAACACAGTCTAGAAGCACACTGTCTAGAATCAGATCGACCAAACTTTTGGCCAAAACTCGTCGAAGCCGCAAAGCCCCAAACCCAGAGACTCCAATACCCTTTAATTAAGGAATATACCTTAAATTATAGTAGGACCCATAATATGATTTAAGGAATAATTCCCTAATTAAGGGGTATTGGAGTCTCTGGGCAAACCCAGGACTCTCAGATCCGGGTCGCGCGAGGTGTCAGGTCGCACCAAAACGGACACCGCCTCCTGGCAGGAGGGTTATCTTTAGGGCTCACCTGTAGCCCAAAAGACCTACCTTTGCAAGGAACTATATGGCAGGAAGGTTATCTTTAGGGCTCGCCTGTAGCCGAAAAGACCTAGCATCTTAAGGAACTAATATATGGAAGCCATAACAAGGAACGCTGATTAAGTAGGTCTTTCCGGCTGCAGACAGGGCTTGCTTAGGGATTTAGGGGGTTTGGGGGTTGAAAGGTTTACGGGTTTGGGGTTTTGGCGGCTTGCGGTTTAGAGATGTTAGGATCGAGAGCCGTGGGCATGTCTGGCGCCTCTGCTAGACAAGGTATTTAGACTGCGCTTAAGAGTGTAGAGGCTTCGGGTTCGGCAGGGATCGTCGGTTTTGAATGCTGACGGTGCACGTCTAGGACTTCTTGTGTTCTTGTTAGGGTAAATGATAAGTGCGTTATCATAATAATGTGGATCTATAGCAAATACTCAGTTAATGTAGTCCGTTAACAAGGGCCGATGAAACGAAGCACGGCTCACATCTGTGGGCCCACAGAGCCTGGATGCACAACAGGATTTGCTCAAAGGCTGTACCATGCCATTAAACGGAACCCTAAACCCTACGGGTGCAGTCATCGGGCCACCCTGCTTTAGATCAGCCTGCAACTTCTGCTCCAGGGACGGATCAGGAGGAACTGAAATCCCCAAGTATGCACTACTTGGAGGGGCAGGGGACTTAGTAACGGTTCTTAAAGGGCTCCTTAAAGGGATCTATATAGGGTTCCTTAAAGGGATCTATGGGGTTTAGAGTTTAGGGTCTACTTGGAGGGCAGGGGACTTAGTAAGTAAGTTATAAGTAGGGGTATAATTGGGGTAACTCCATTTAGGGTACTTATAACTCTACTTACAACCTACTTACTAAAGTTCCCTGAGCCTCGAAGTAGGAGGACGCAGGGTTCAGATTTTTTGGGGTGCCTTCGCCATGAGTTACAAAAGACACCCTGCAGAAGAATGAATTCTTCATGGCCTTGCTGTTGGAATATGGGAGTTTCCGAAAACAGAGGACCCCAATATAGTGCCTTAAATTAGTAGGATCCTTATTATAAGGGTTCCAAAATAAGGTACCCCTATTTTGGGAAACTCCCATATGGTTTAGGGTTTAGGGTTTCCTTGCTGTTGGAATATGGGATGCTCGGGGACCGTACTGCTCAGCGTGGGGCTAATCAACATTCTGGATGCTGCAAGCGATGTGCCTCCATCTGTGCCGCCGCCGCGTCGTCGTAGGTCTGGATGCAGTTGTGGATGATGAGGGCTTGAAACTCGACGTCACGACCGTTGCCGCCGTGCTGGTCGCTGTAGCGTCGGACGTAGTAGTCGCAGTAGCTTCGTGTGTAGTGGTGGCCGCGGACACGGTGCTTGAAGTCATAGGTGTTTCTGTGGTGTGGATCCCTGTGGCTTGGGTTGTAGTCGTGGTCGGTGCAGCTGTATGTTTGTGAGTAGTGGTCTCTGAGGTCATGGGCCTTGAAGTCACGATTGTCGCCGTGGTGCTCGTACCATTTGGATCACAGCAGTCCCAGAGAATGGCAAACTCACTGACAGAGGCACAGTCACCCACGGCATCCGAGTTGATGGAAACGAAGCAGAAGGGCCTTCCGGGCGACCAGTCCGTACATCTGGCTTTGGATGTATTCAAATCCTTACTTCTCCAAGAAGACACAGAATTAGAAGGGTAAGCTTGGATGTCCACTTGACCATTCTTGTCCGAAAAAAGTTTAAAAGTATTGGAGCACCAAGAATCCTCATCAAAGTTGATGCAGCTCTGAATCGGTGTCCCAGTGTTGTAGCAGTGCCTATCACCACAGAAGCCTCTGACACAGACCTGCACCGGGCAAACGTCATCTGGGATCGTATCGATGCACACCGTTCTGTGCCCGGCAGGGCCCGACGTCTCGATCTTCCGCGTTGAATACCTCGGTTCCGGAGTTCGTTCGTGAAGAGGAAGCTCGAATCTACTTGGAGGGGCCGGGGGACTTCAGTAAGCAGGTCATAAGCAGAGTTATAAGTACCCTAAATGGAGTTACCCAAATTATACCCCTACTTACAACCTACTTACTAAGTCCCCTGCCCCTCCACGTACAGATTAGCAGGGCAGGATATTTCTTCTCAAATTAACAGTTTGATGGTTCAGCTACCAAGATACTCCCTGGCGGACCCTGGACATGGATTGGCACCGCCTGTTTCACTGAACCAGCAAGTGTCTGAGATGATTCCCGGATTGGTACTGATGGTCTGGCAGGTGACTTGGCTGTAGGCAGCACACCTTTGCATGCTGGAACATCAACCTAACCCTAGACCCCAAACCCTGAACTCAAAATCACCCTAAATTACTAAACCCATTGACAGTAGCTCCAGTTGCGGGATGCCCATACAACAACCGGTCTGTTGAACAAAACCTTCTGAGCCAGGAGCCTGAAAACCTTGAGCCAATGACAGCCTGGTCGCAAGGTTTAGGGTTTAGGATACTCAGAAATTCAACAACTTCTACACCACCGATCCAGCGGCTGTCGGATAGAGGTACCGAAGGAAGCATCCGGCAAGAGAGGCGGCTGTCGACAGGTTGCCAGCTGCGGAAGCGGATCCCTCAGGGGCTCGTCCTTAGCACGAAGCTGGATTCACGAGAACAGATAATTCTGTAAACCCCTAAACCCTAAACCCTCACTGTAAAGTGTCATGACAAAGCATAAAACCTTGTTAAGTGTATGACTCTACGAGTTCAGGTTGAGGAGATTGTCCATGTCAGAGCTAGGCCCTAAACCCTGAACCCTAAACCCTGAACCCTAAATCCTAGAACCCTAAATCCTAGACCGCTAAACGCTAAAACCCGAATCCCTAAACCCTAGTGCTCGCGTCTGCAACAACGCCTTAATAATTAGAATAGGGTTGTGGGGTAGGTAATTATTACGGCCCGGCTGTAACTAGACCCAAGAGTAACCTAGGAATAAAAAGGGTGCCCTTTTTGGTTTAGAGGGGCTTATAATGGACCTGAACCCTGAAAAACGGGAATAAGGGCCTACTGTCCACTCTAGATCCTAGAAGCACTTCGCCGAGATCCCTGGCTTGGAATAAGTCTGGGAGGGTTCAAGCCCCTTTTCCTGGAACTCTCCTTGGAAAGAAGCCGGCCCAAGCCCGGAAGTAGTGGTAAAGGCCGGCAGCAGTGGGCTTGGATTTTTTTATCGACTCCGGGTCTGAAGACTCGAGGAGGGTGGACCCTAAACCCTAAACCCAACCTCTCCCTACACCCTAAACCCCTAAACCCCTGAACCCCTTCCTGAATTCCTGAACCCAATCTCTCCCTGCAGCTCTCGCAGCTTTCGAAACAGCGAAGCCGCTGGCGATCTGCTCTTCCTGGCAACCGCCCGCAAATCCGAAGCAGAAACCGCCCAACGCCTACCTGAACCACTTTGGTAAAGGACTTACCCGTATCCCCAAACCCCACAAAATAGTAGGTCATAACTCCTTAATTGCAGGGCATAGCATAACCCCCAAAATGACTAGGTTTTTAGATTTCCAGGTTGGGTTTAGGGCTCAAGGTTTGGAGTCTGGGGATTAGTGTTTCCAAGGAAGAAGACCGAATTGGAATCAGAAGCTGAGAGCAAGACCATTTTTGCAGACAGCCACGTATTTGACACTGCTGGGTTTAAGGCCTTACAGCCGATTGATAATAAACCCTATTTCGACTCGCTAGGAGAAGAGCTCTGATAACCCTAAAGAAAGCCCAAAGAACCACCCTCTTTAAAGGAAATCAGACGAAGGAGCGCTAAAAAGCGTAGGTTTCTTACTTAAAGGATCATGGGACATAGTAACTAGGGTTATGAATAAGGTATTTGTACTTATAACCCCAATTAGGGTACTTATAACCTTACTTACTTAAGTCCCCTGATCCTTTAAGTAGGGTCCAGGTAAGAGAAATTCAGACAACGTGCCAGCTGGGAGCTGCCCTGGTTCAGGATATGGGTGGTTGTCAAAATTAGGGTCCCTTTTTGGGATCTATAAGGGTTCCTTTAAAGGGATCTATATAAGGGGTTCCTTAAAAGGGGTCTATAGTAGGGTTTAGGGGGTTTAGGGTGGTTGTCAAAGTTATGGTCCCTTTTTGGGCACCCTAAATATAAGGTGCCGAACTATATTAGGGACCCCCAAAAGGGACCATAATTTTGACAACCACCCATATCAAGCGTTGTGACAGCTTCTCAGCCGTTTCGGGGTGTTCGGCTGCAGCGGTTTAAGGGCCTAGGGTTTAGGGGTCTAATGGTTTGGGGTTGAGGTGTTTAGGCTTCAGGTTTGCATGTGCACGTTTGCAGAGGACGTAATCCAAAACCCTGGAAGTTAGAAGGACTGTTTAGGATTGCTTTGCATGTGTATGGCTTACGGATACTGCGGTCGTTGGGCTCGGGGCGCCTAAGTTTTTGCAGGAGTTTCTTGCTTACTATTCCTGCACTGCCGGTTTCCTCCGGTCGATGACAATATTTCACCTTTTCAAAATAACACCCCAGCTACCAAAGCGGTCTTCTGTATTCGATGACGTGTGTATCTCGTCTCACAGTCTGATACCGGACCTTGTAGGCCTTTCGGAATGTTCACAACTCACAGCTACCTTTCCGGCGCAAAGCTAACCTTGAATCGCAGAACGCTGTACTGGGAATTAGCCGAGTCCCACCCTCCATGGTGCCTTCTTCACCGCAGCTTGCAACAAGGCACCGCCATCAGCGTCTTGATGCGATAGACTGGGCAGCAAGCGGCTACAAGGCTTCACAGTCTGCTCTGTGTGAACCCAACTGAAAATCAACCCTGCGCCGTCAACCCAAAAGTACTAAAGCGATAACCGTACACCAAAAACCCTAAACCGAAAATCTTAACCCTTGTAAACCTTAAACGCTAAACCGCAAACCCTGAATCGCTCAGGGTGGCAACCAAACTTCATGTTGAGTTTTCGAAAATAGGGGACCCTAATTATATAGTACCCTGAGTAGCAAGGAACGCAAGATAAGGCACCCCTAATTTCGGAAACCCCCATGTGGAGATGACCGCATAGAAAGTTCTCAAGCGGAGCTTGGGTTTAGGATTTCGAGTTGAGTCTTCTAGAGCCGCGTTTCACTATCGCATTTTATTCTGCTTCTTGCAATTCGCATTGTTACTATTATGTTACTATACTCTTATTATTACTATACTCCTATTACTATTGCCATTTTTCTATAATGCACAACTATCATAATAACCCCGTAAAGGATCCGCCACCACGCTGAAAGCGATATCAAGGCCAGCTGCGGCGGAACTTGGAGAAGGATAAGTCAAGGGTTTACAAGAGGGGCTCCTTTAAGGAATCTATAGGGTTCCTTAAGGGGATCCGTAGGGTTTAGGGTTTAGGGGAGGAATTACCTAAGGGTTCCTTTAAGGGGTCCTTTTAAAGGAGTCTATAAGGATTACTATAAGGGCTATTATGGAGGGCTTAGGGTCAGGGGCCTCTAGCTACCAATACTATCCTTGGGGTTCCTTGGTATAATTATAGTATACTAAGCCCCAAAACCCTATTCGGGGAAAAGGTTTGAACTGTGGGGGTTTAGGAAGTTTAGGGTTGAAGGGCTGTTGAGGGTTTGGGCTTTGGTGTAAGGCTGCACAGAACAAACACCGTCTGGTTCCATGAGCCACGACTGCTGCCAAAGTTCCTCGAGGTCAGAAGACAAGCTTCCTCTCCGGCGGTTTCCAAAAGGCAAAGACAGCAACCCAGGACCAGATAGCGGTGGCAGATCGATCTCTGCTGGCACATGCAGGCGGCTCCGGGGAAGCTGCGGACGCCTACTCTGGAACCTTGACGAATAGGAACAGAACGGACAAGTCCTCACAAAATAAGCCATCCATGCCATGATACACAGACCGACGCACAAACAGACTACTTCACTGATTTTGGAGACGCAGAGCAAATCGTGGTCTTGCTCCGTAAGATGGCTGCCAATCCTACGAGTAGCACGCAGACGGCGGCGGTCGTTGCAAGTAGTAACCAAAGTCGGTCTGTTACTTAACCAGTGGGACTTCGGTCTAGGATGCTCTGGCTGTTGTTGTGATTTTTTGAAACTAAGGACAGCCCTGTTCGCGGGTCCTTACGGTGGTCTTTGCTAGGGTGCAGAATTTTCAGACACTCCGAGGTGACGTGCCCATAAGTGAAGCACTCAAAGGCTCTAATATACAGACGCCAATAGTTAGAATAGGGTTTTGGGGCCCATTATACTCTAAATATAATAAGGAAGCCCCAAAAAGGTACAGGCAATGATTAAGGCCCCTATACTAAACCCCTACAATAGCCCTTATAGTAATCCTTATAGACCCCTTTAGGAAACCTTAATTAAAGGAACCCTTAGGTAATTATTAAGGCCCCTATACTATGACTTCCAACTGGACTGGCGAGGTTGCAAACCCTAAACCCTAAACCCTAAACCCTAAACCCTAAACCCTAAACCCCTAAACCCTAAACCCTAAACCCTAAACCCTAAACCCTAATCTGTGGCCTTGTTTTTGAGGCCTCGGGCTGAAGCTTGAAAACCTCACCCCTACACCCTACACTACATGTTCAACCCAATAAACATCCTAATATCTTAAACCCTAAACCCCGAAACCCTAAAGCCCTAAACCCCTAAACCCCAAACCCTAAACCCTAGGACCCTAGGACCCTAAAGGAAGTCTAAACCCTAAAGCCCCGGGGTCAGTTCAGGGCTCAGACCTGTGGCTTCCATGCCTCCTTGCGCTACCTGAACCCCAAAAGTATGTAGAATAATGGCCTTTTTTGGGTTGTGGGCTGTTGTTTTAACTACTTTTGGGGGTTTAAGTAATGGGTTTGGGGCTTATGGGTAAAAGGTTGCGTGCTTACGGGTTTAGGGTTGAGGTTTATGGGTTTAGGGTTTAGGGTTTGGGTTTAGGGTTTAGGGGTTTGGGGGTTTAGGGATTAGGGATGTTTCATGTTGCATAAAGGGGCCTTAAAAGCTAGAGTAGGGCTCCTTGAAGTGTTGCTGTAAAGGTTTAGTGCAGGCGCATTGATCGTTTGAATACGGCTTTGGGGGTGTATCACCGTAAGTACAGGAGCGAGTGGTGACTGACACTTATGATAGGTAATATCGCGAACAACTCTAAACTTGAAGTTTGGGGCTGAAGCTCAGTGTTCCAGTTTACGGTCACGGGTCAGATGTCGTGATGTGAGGGTAAGCAGGCAGCATGCGTCTGCGCATTACGATGCCTGCATCTTCATCTTCATCTCAAGTACATACCACTTTAAAGTTTAGGGC